CGAAGTACAGCAATAATAATCAAGCATAACATTCTGAGTGTGACGGGCGCCGCCATTTTGATTTGCTTGATTCCTTCTTTCTTCGTCTTCTTTTTCTTGTGTTTTATGGCGGTTGGCAAACAACTTTTGGTGCATTACCGCCACCAACTGCTTGATTTCCTCCTTCTTCGTCTTCTTCTTGTGTTTTATGGCGGTTGGCAAACAACTTTTGGTGCATTACCGCCACCAACTGCTTGATTTCCTCCTTCAGTACTGGCAGTAATACCACAGATCGCCACTAGGAGGCGAGGAGTCGAGGAACCGAAATAGCAAGATGTTTAAACGGTCGTCAGAACGGAGCTCGGCCTGGTTAACTGATCCGAGCTCGGACTGGTGAATCGTCATGGATCGGTTTTTCAAGGGTAGTGTAGATGGGGTATTAAAGGTATAGTGGAGGATTTTTATTTCTGGGTTGATCATCAAAATAAGTGGTCCTCCTAATATATGTTGCATATGTTTATGCAAGGCCGTCCTACATGCTCGTCCCCAGTTAGCTATCTTATTCTCTGCACCATTAGGCAATACCAGGCAGTTTCCTAGGGCCCCATAAAACTGGGGGCCCCCATAAAACTCTGTTTACATGTATGGTTAATACAACCTTTTCCTTATTTCTGCACATTAATTATGTTTTTGATAAAAATCCTTTCACTAAAATGCCATCAGAACACTTATAATATTAATTGTGTCTCATGCCCAACTCTGCTTGAATATAAATCTAGATAAACTCAAAATCAATCAATTCAAATCAATTAAAAATCAATTCTGCACTATAATCCACGTTAACCGAGTAACGATGTACCAGTTCATCCAGACACCTTCCCATCAAATAATCCATCTTATCTGTGTGTCAACCCTCATCTTCACTATAGACATTTATTCACCCAGCAGTTAGCTTTTACCTTAAAGTCATATTTGAAACTAATCTTCCTCACTTAAAATAAATAAGCTAAAACTGCGCACAATAACAGGGTTTATTTTACATATTAGATTGAAATAAATAATAATATAGAATAAATATGATCGTAACTTTTGCTGCTGCCAAATTAGTACCACATGTAATATGGTACTACGGGACGCCTTTTACAGCTGCTTTTTGTATCTCTGCTTCTGTCTCCTTGAACTCCAGTCGCCTCTTGGCCGCTCACACTGAGCCTGCTTCTGCTGTTTCTTCAGGTTTCTTCCTGTTAAAAGGGAGTTTTTCCTCTCCACTGTCGCTGCAAGCATGCTTAGTGTGAGGGATTGCCTTCGAATCAATGAGTCGATGCAATCAGCTGGTTTTCCTTGGATAGAAAACTTTGAATCAATTTGACTGGATGATCTGGTTGAACTGTATAGTGCCTTGAGATGACATGATGTGAATTGGCGTTATATGAATAAACTGAATTGAATTGAATTAGTTGAATACCTCACACCGATGATTGTTCCTGCTTATTTTCAGGAAAGCCTTGCAGGACTTGAAAAGCGGACTTTGTGGAAACACATGGATGGCCCAGAACTAAGGGCTGAAA